GAATTCTGAGGGAATAAACCAATATCGGAAACAATATCGCTCCCATGCTACCTCCTCATTAAGAATGCGCGTCTTTTCCTGATCACTATTGACGACACTGGGTTCAGCGGGCGACGATACAACCTCCTTGCCTCGCTCTGAAGGTCCCCCCTCACCCACTACACGATGTTGGGTAATCGTCCTTGGACTTCCACCATCTCCTAGTGACACAAGAAAACACATTCAACCTGTCACTTGAGATGATATATCCAACATAGGTATCGACAAATTTAGTATTACGGATCACTGATTACGTGATCTACCATCCAACGTATGGACTCCATCATGGCTGAGGTACATACACTCACCTTTAGTTGTCTCGGTAGCATGCCTTGTATAAGGACCCACACATGATTCCATCGTATATAAGTCGCTACACGGCGACACATTATATTTACTATCCGCCTGAAAGGAAGCACTTCCATAATAGAGTGCCTGAGTGATATCCTACCTGCTGTGTGGTGGAAGGGGAGAGCGTTGTGCGCCTAGTACCCAAAGGGGAGTTGCCAACTGCTGCGGTATCTTCAGAAGCTATAACTAAGGGATCCTCCTCGTCCACAAGCATGTCAGGCTGAGAGTGATGATAAGACAGACAGAAGTGAAACAAACGCCAACTCATCCGAAAAGTCGACATACTCTCTTCATATTGACACTAATAAGTAATATCAACTTCCAAGAAACCATACATAACGACAGGGAACACCATCAACTGAGAGGAGTGTCAAGCTGGTGATGCTCTCAAGTGCCTCCGTTGTAGACACGTCTCGAATTGGCTCATAGCCCTAGGCTCAGCATAGTGATCAATAATAATGCATTTCAGAGTATCACAGCCGAGCATATCAGATGGAGTTGAGTAATCGACAAGAACAGAGATTTGAAGGCTGTAACACAATGATACACTCACACTTGCTACTACTACTTCGATAAGCTACTACTCTAAAACAGTCTGTGGCATCACAGTCTTCTTACACAATATACAAGCCGAATAAGTGTCGAAGAAGAATGTGGTCTCACGAAGCTAGCTATGGAGTAGTATGCCTACTCTATCACTATCAACCCATTTACAAAGTAAATTCAGAGCTATTCGGATGGTTCAAACAAGGTCAGTTATTGATCATTGAAAATATTAGAAACGCCTTATCTGTGGTGAAGAGATGACGATAGAAGAGAATACTCTAGAGTCGATACCATGGGGGGGGAGGCTGGCAGGATAGATAATTGGTAGAATAGGTCAGAACAGTGATGTTAATGCATGACCTTTTACAAAGCCTGATGTTGATGCAGGCTGTGATATACATCTAAAGACAGTCTCACCACTAGGGCCACTTACTTGTGATGAGCATCAGTTGACAGCAGCAGGCAACTGAATGAGGAGTCGCTCACACTGTCGTTCAACAAACCTATTTATGGGGGGGTATTCTATAACCTCATTTTGAATGACCATACTCTAGAGCCAGAAACTGAACTTCTGATCCACTGCATGTCCTATAAATGCACGATTCGAACCTCTCCAAATCTAAAATGCTGATAATCCCAATACATTATTCTGATTGATTTGAAATCAATGATTTCCTAATCATATTCCATAGTGTCTTTTTCGTAAGGAAAGCGCGCGCCCCGTTTAAGAAACTAATGCGTTGCAGATGATAATTGAACTCCTAGGTAAGCGCCATTTCGGAGTGAGCATGGATGATTATGAGTCAGTTCTGTGATGGTTACGAGTAATGATGGTTCTTCGCGATTGTGGAATCGACGTAGACGGGAGAATGATACCATTCCACCAACGATACCTGAAGGGAAACTTCCTGAGGATGATTTATCCTTCTCTACATTGATAGCCCACCACGATAATGATGCAAAGATACTCGGGTGAGAAATCTTCATACTGCGGAATGTATCGATGGAGTTCAGTGGTGATGGTGGGAAATCGGGGAAGAGGGGAAGTGGATCGCGAGGGAGGTTCGACGTAGCATCGGCGCGGCAATATTCACGGTTCAGTTTAACGTCGCCGACAAACAGCCCGTCGTACACGGCGTAGGTCTCTGGCTCGATCCCTCCACTCTTCGTTTTGTCAGACGTGAAGAGCCGTCATCATCAACTTATCGAATGCCGCCCCCTCAAGCGGACTGTTGTGCTTGCCTCGGTACTATTAACATGAGTAATGTTGAAGTAGCGTTCAAGTACTTAGGGGCTGCTGTTCGATGGTGTTTTGGAGTGGACCCTGCAGGGAAGGATGTATTGAATCGACGGGATCGTCGGCTTGTTGCTCAACATGAGAAATTGGTAGAATGGGAGAGGGTATTGATGTGGGATTATGATTGGGTGTTTAAGTATGAACCTATGCTCGAATAAAGGAAGACATTGTTCCCCTATAGTCGGGACCCTTGGTTGAAGAGGTGTTATCATTGTTAGGGCCTGGTAGGGGAGGGTTTACTCGACGCACCGCCTCCACCACGATTAGAGCATTCCATCACAGATAGGGTGAGGGATCAGGTAGTGCTGTGAGGTCCCTGGGAGGTATACTGATGAGCAATAGATCAGAGGGTTTATATGATTGATCTAAACAAGGTGTTGAACTGATACGATCCGCAGTAGGGGCTTTTACCGTATTGAGCACCATACGACCACGTAGTACAGTCACATTCGTGCAATCCACTTGAGGGGAAAGTCTGAACAAAAAATTCCTGCCTTGCGAAAATGAAGTTGTTCTCCACAGGTATACGAAATCCAACGGCAACGAAGTGATCGGACAAGCTTTATCAATCCCGGGATGTATGGCAACAGTCTCGGAGGAATGCGATCACCATCGGGAGCTGTGGATGCGGGCTTGGACCATACCGATATCATTAGCCTTAGACTCAAGCTCGACCCAACTAGAAAGGTTACGTCTAAGTATGCCAAGGAGTGTTAGACTCTTAGTATCTCTTATGCTCTAGGTATAAATGGACGGGCATCCGTCTGGGGAAGGGAGGATACGCTTCGGTGTAGTAATGGGTCGTGGGGAAGTGGTAAATTAATGTAATCGCAAAGACATATACGTTTACTGTTCGAGCTAGTGGTACCGATTGGGGCAGCAGTTACATAAAGTTGATACCGTATCCCTGTGAAGTTACTTCGGTAACTTAGGTATGAGGTTCATGAACGCTCTACAGGGGCTAGAAGGGCGTGTAAAATAATATCGAAGAAAAGAGTCGAGGATTTGGAATTGTTGGAGAGGGAGTTGCAGGTTCTTATCAGCTTGGATCATCCGAACATCATAAGGTAGTATATTACGGTAACCTAGAAGCGCATAAACTGATATTTGTCTATAAACCTGAACGATTTATAACTCTTCTGTGTCTATTCTCATTTTCTTTTCCCTTCCGTTGTTACTAGCTTGTTCTGGGAGAACGTGGAAGCGTTGGATTTCGTTCATAAATCCTCCCCAGAAAATAGATGTTTGTGATCCGTGAAGGGGAATTTACCCGATTGAAGTTGATCACGACTTCGGAACTCAGCGGAGCGAAGCATTCAGCTTGCTTCAGGATGCTCTCGTGGTATGAATCGGATAATAATCTGTACGTCATAATGGAGTTGTGCGAGGGCGGCGAATTGTTCGACGTCATTGACAAGAGGGAGGAGCTTTATTCGGGTAAGCATAAAATTCTTCTCATCCACGACTGGCTTGGTCGACTCGGGCGCTGGAAACGGCGTCAGATCATCTTATAGGATCCATAATCCGCCAGATCTTCCTTGGAGTGGCCTATCTGCATCAAGCTGGGATAGTAATATGGGGTCGGAGGTATTCGTTCATAAAAATCTAAAGTAGAGTATGACAAGACTTGTAGAGAGGTTGCTGACTATCGCGTTAGGTAGCTCTTACCATGATGACTTTGTTGTGACATTTATTCTATTGAATTCGTGAAAACCTTCAATTCAACTATTAATCGTATCTGCTATCCTTTATATCATATCGGTCATGATCTAGTTCCATGTCACCAAAGCTTCATCTTCGAAAAATCTACTCAACTATGGGTTGGATTTCCCTTCTTGTAGGTCCATAGAGATTTGAAGTTGGAAAACTGCCTGTTTAAAAATAAGGACATGCGCTCCTGTGTAAAGTTGATCGACTTTGGTCTTGCTGGCTTGAAGCCTATGTACCACGATAAGCCCTGGTTGAAGGACGTTCTAGGTAGTGAGCATAATTCAGTGTGTTGTAGACTACTTGTAGTTCACGTCAAGCAATTTATGGTATCGGGCTTGTTACTCAGAAGTCTACAATAGACGTAAGAATTTCCATTGCGCGACAGAACATTTCAACGTAGCAAATTTTGGCGTCTAGAAGGTTTGCATACCGACCCCTATTCACCAAATAGATGCATGAATGCTATGGACCATTGGCATACCGGCCCCTATTCACCAAATAGATGCATGAATGCTATGGACCATTGGCATACCGGCCCCTATTTACCAAATAGACGCACGAATGCTATGGAATATTGGCATACCGACCCCTATTCACCAAATAGATGCATGAATGCTATGGACCATTGGCATACCGGCCCCTATTCACCAAATGGATGCATGAATGCTATGGACCATTGGCATACCGTCCCCTACTCACCAAATAGATGCATCAATGCTATGGACCATTGGCATACCGGCCCCTATTCACCAAATAGATGCTTGAATGCTATAGACCATTGGCATACCGGCCCCTATTCGTCTTGTCTTCCTCTTGTGTCTTCCTCAGGTACTGCCCTCTACATGGCACCAGAAGTTATATCAGATAACACCTATTATGATGAGAAGTGCGACTCATGGTCTGTTGGGATAATCATGTATATTATGCTTACTGGTAAAGGGAGGGTAAAGGGGTATACATGAAGAGGTATGGTAATAATGATGATAAGTAGGTCAACATCCCTTTTGGACACCTAAGAGTTTAAGTGATGAGAGGGAGCTATTCCATAGGGTTAAGACTATGGAACCTGATTTGACTAAGATCCCAAGTAAACCTGCGGCTGAGTATGTACCACAATAATCCGTTGATATGGAGTTACCTCTCTCGAATTAGGTTGGTTGGCCTACTGTTACAGAAGGATCCTTCTAAACGGCCATCAGCTAGAGAGGCGTTGAATCATCCCTGGCTACGACAACATGAGTTTTACCCAGCATAT